TTAACAACTAGGTCAGCAATAGATTTTCAAATTGAATTTGGTGCTCCCTGTATTATCTATTTCTTTTTGTCTCTTTCTTAACAACTATGTTGTCTTTTCATCGTGATAGTTTCTATGCCTTAAATTAACATGATAGAATTGCTTCTGCTCTAGCTTCCTGTCGGGACCTCTCTCTATGGAACTGGGGAAGTTAGTGGGCAACTTGAGCGGACGGGGAAAAGAGTAAGTCATCTTTTGATGATCTATCCATGAAAGATTTCCCTCCCCTCTAAATGTTTAGTATTTCTGCTTGATTTAGATTTTTACTTGGAACACGGATGCATGGGGTTATGGTTCTGGAACTACGTCATTGTACCAGTCACATCCTTGGGTTCTAGCTGTTCTTCCAACTGGGGAGGCATTGGGAATTCTCGCTCACGACGCTGTGAGGTGCCGTGACATCTGGATCTCTGACCTTCTGTTGAGTCAATATTTAATACCTTGTGTTAACATTCATAACTGAAATGTGACATCTAATATAAATGTAACATAAGATGTATGTTTCTTTGCATATAGTGGCACTTGCAGGTGTATGTTGCTTACTAGTCAGCCCAGTTCATAGTATATAATGCGGTTCCTTCTCCATCATTCTTAATTTATTGTTTTAGTATCTGTTTTTATTGTTTATGATTTCCTCACCAGGGACTGTATTTATGCCCCCAAAGTGGTCGTTAGGCTATCATCAATGCCGTTGGAGCTATGACTCTGATAAGAAAGTTCAAGAGGTAAGTTTTTGATAATTATCTCAAGTTAAAGCTTCTCTCCTATGTCTCTGTCTCTGCCTCTGTCTCTGTCTGTCTCTGTCTCTCTCTCATGCATGCTTGTTTTCTCACTTTCTCTTGTTCGCTTGTATGTTTGGTCAAATACATATTCAAATACTATGGCATAACATAAGAATGAGCTTGTCAATCAAATAATATAGTACTTGGTGTTGAGATTTGGATTGCAAAGGGAGCAGAGAAGTACCAAAAGAAGAAGAAGGAAAGGTTCAGCTCAAAGAAGGAAAATGAAATTCACGCTGCAACATTCTCACTGTTGCAGCAGTCATGCCTTTTCATTCATTTCTTACATCAGAAATCATCACCATCCAAATACACGAGCCAATGTGATTATGACACATGGCAGTACAGGGCATGTGAGCCGTTGGCAAATAACAAACTGATCTAAGACCTTACACTTGGCATATGAGCTCAAGCTTACATAATACTTACTCAGCTAAACATAAGAGAAGTCAACTATGCTAAGTAAACCATTCACTAATGAGAAATTAGAGAGCAATTTACATTTCAACACTTAGAACTAGACAGTACATCATAGTTCTGTAAATTCCTTGCCACTATATAGACAGTACAAATTTCTAAAGCGTTATACGATCTAGTGCGATGATCATTGACCAGCTTACACTTGCAGATTACAGGAACATTTCGAGAGAAGGGTATACCTTGTGATGTCGTATGGATGGATATTGATTACATGGATGGTTTTCGTTGTTTCACTTTTGACAAGGTATGTTTTCCCCTAAATGTTCTTAATGGATGAGAATACATTGGTTCTGGTTCCCCATCTTCAGTTCATCAATGAAACCATTTACTTCTTTCAGGGGTGAATTGAATTTTGAGAATCTTGTGTATGTTATTGAGACATTTTATACATGTTTAGGGTTTCCCCTATGAACTATGGTCACCCTCGGCAGGGATGTGGGTTCGGCAGATGGCTCTCCACGACCAGATGTGGAGGTCTCCTATTGATGACTGGTGTGCTCCTCTGGCACCCGAGTATCCCCCATCTGAAACTCGTAGTGCTGACCCAAGCTGGCACGACTACTGTCCCGATATACCATAGCCAACGGTACTAGCTGTCTTGTCATGAGTCCCTTCCCGATGCGTGGGTAGGAACAGAGGTTGGGCCTTCACCGAGTATTTCGACATCGGTATCTTCTCCACCCTCGGCACCGAGGCTCACGGCCTCACTATTCGTGTCCTACTGGTCGTCTGATGACTCCCCATCGAACGCATTGGGCTCACTCTCGAACGGTGACTCGCTATCGGACATCTACAAAACACAAAAGGGAAACTAAGGGTCATGCAGGAGACTAGCCTACTGGTTCCTACATCACTACCTATAACTAGACTACCGAATGAAACCCTACTTACTCAAAGGTCAGTCTAGCTCATGCCAAGAAAGGACGTGCACAGAGAAAATAAAATATTTAAGGAGTGTCGAATGGTACCTTATCTTGAATCGCAGATGAAGGAGAACAAACTGGACTGCCGATCGCCTTCGTCGGAGATCGCCTTAATTGCCGATTGGTTGCTCAAAAATTGCCTCGGTTGCCGTTAACTCTCGCATAAAATCGCTTCAACAGAGCTCTCGCTTTACTCAGAAATGCAAAGTGAACTTATCATATGGAGCCACCCTTATTTATAAGGCGAGGGTTTGCAACGGTACGCCTCGAAAAACCAAACGACGCATTAATGATGCCCCTTCGCATAATTGGACATGCCACGTGTTGTTCGACATGCGTATGTTATGACAGCACACAGGGCACAGAAGACGAGGCGTATCTCTATCCCATCATTCCACAAAGAAGCGACCCTTTGAGTCCCCCGACAATTGCTTCCGAATGAGGGCGCACAGAAGGGCAAGGATCAAGCGTCTCCCTCTGCTAAATTGCCGAACGGTAGGACGACGCCTCAGGTTACCGAAGAAAATGTCAAGTCCCCATCCGAGAACTCTCAAATGAGAACTTGGGGGACTCCTGTTTATACTTAAATGGACAACTTATGAGGACCTGACACGTGGATAAAACTGAACCTAACCATGGAAGCCTTCGGCACCTTGCCTACCTACCAATTAGGGCAACCCCCATTCTCTAGGGCACATGGCATAGCCACAGTGAATGTCCACAGTCCCACATCGAAATTCTACACAACTTGCACACCTCCCAAGGTTTATAAAAGAAGCACAATTGCCCAAATTGGAGGTAATTTGAATTTTTAGCATACTGCCTTTAGATCTGTTCAGTTCTCTTACTTAATCTGTACTTACTTAAGCACCGGAGAGCCTTCGGCTGGTACCACACCGATGCCTAAGGTCTTACTGAGAGTTTGTTATCTTACAGATCACGCGCTCTACCGAGGCCCAAAGGCATACCGAAGGCCCAACATCACTAAGTTGAGCGGGAAAGTGCTGAACCATTTTTTCGCATCAACAGAGAATAACAAGAAGAAATCATCGATGTTAGGGGACCTGAACCCAGAAGGCAAGATTAGACGCTGGCATTGATTAGGTTTTCTATCTCGTCGATGTCAAATTAGGAGGAGGGGTGGAGTGGAACAATGGAGTGTGAAATTTTTCTTGTTTTTTTGAGTTCAGGAAATCAACAAAACAACCCACTAGGATGGGGGCTCTTGGGTTAGTGTATGAATGGAGGAGGCATGGCGGCAAAGTGGAGGTCTACATATTGAAACATGGCGGAGATGGGGGCTCTTGGCTTGGGGCTCCGGGCTATCACTATCGGGAAGAGAGAGAGGGATATTTGTTTAATTTTTAATGTTTTTGTTGAACGAAAAGGAAAAAAACAAACAAACCAACCCAAAAAACCGAGAGGGGAGGATTGGGTGGGGGCGACTGGTGGTGATGACAAGGTAAGGTGTGGGTGATGGTGATGAGATGGTGGCGTGCAAGGAGGAGAAGATGTGGTGCTAGGGTTTGGGGAAGAAGGTGGGAGCAACTAGAGATGGTTTTTTATTTTTATTTTTAAGTTTATATATTTATTTATATTTTATATTTGCTTAAAAAAATATTATTTATTTAGAAAAAGAAAAGGAAATAATATTAAAATGAAGTGAAAAGAAATTAATGTGGAGTAAGGATAGAATAGGAAAGAGAAAAAATAAAAAAGAATAAAATTGATTAAAAAGCGTTAAAAAGCAAAAGAGTGGAGAAAAGAGGAGTGAGAAAATCAACTCCCTTTTTTGTTGTTAGAAAATATGGGCATCATTGAAAAATCCGTATATAATACATGGAAAAATGCATTCGCATGATTTAGAAGACTATTAAAAATAAAAAATGTATTTACTCTTACATAAAGGAATGTGCAATAGTCTCGTATTTTGTATTTTTGTCACTTTAAAATATATAATTTTCTTTGGATTACACACCCTAAACTATAATTTTCCCAATTCAATACCGACTCTTAAATTTTGGGTACGAAAATAATAAAAAATACATACAATAGCTTAGAACAAAAATTAATTTGATATGAAATATATTGTTAAAAGTACCTTAAAAAATAAATGAAAAATTATATTTATTATTACTAGAATAAGTGAACTTGTAGGTAAACATAGCAAATCTCCTATATATATATATATATATATATAATCTCCTCCCTACCGTCAAACTCAAATTCACTCACATTCTATTAAGAAGGGTCACACACTTTGCATTTCTAAAAACAAAAGGAGAATCTTAGAAACATATTGGGGGTGAAGGATAATCAAGAGGAAGTCGTCTTGAGGTGTATCGCCAAGAGGCATTCAAAAATAGAAATATCTGAAAATAAGGAGATGCTAAAGATACAAAAACGAACACTTGGGGCACCCAGCTTATAATCTCTTCCCAGAGGAAGATGACTCACTTAATAATCTACAAGATAAAAACAAATGAGGTGTGAGCAAACAGCCTACTTATATACTAACTCAGTTATATCTGTCATGTAAGATCACATGTCAGCCTATTCAAAGTCAGTTTTCAACATCAACACCTAAGAGAGAGCACAAAACGTAATTACCTTAGAATTCTTCTACGATTGGAACACACTAAATGGTAAACAAAAATACAACACGTAAAAATATTAAAAATAAAAACTCATTACCAATTTTGTGCTGAAAGGGAGGCTAATTATAAAAAATAAAATAAAATAAAGTGATGCGAACTCACATTGAAATGCAGACAGGTCATATCTTTGTTTTCTTTCTGGGTCTAACTTCATCACCTACATCATCATCATCATCATCTAATTCATTTTCATCAATATGTTTGCCATCATCATCACCATCCTTCGACATACTGATAGGAGCCAGGTGGGCCCCAATGCTTTTGATGTGCACCCCTTTGCCGATAACAGTAATTCGAAAAATAGGCGTCTTTAATTGTACATGAAAAATTGGAATACATTCCAGCCACACATTACCTTCCCCTGTCTCTCCTCCATACAGATGTATCTTATCTTCACAACTATCAAAATAAAATTCAACATAACAAGGGCTAACAAATGATTCCGTAATTTCCCAAACAGCAAACAAAACTAATTTTGTGTTCTCCAATACGGAAGTCCAAGGAATTTCAAAAGGAAGTTCGTAATTACGAACACTCCTGCCATTAACATCAACGTAGTCAAATTTACTCTCATCAAAGTCATCAAAGTCATCACCAAAGGTGAACCACTCTGGAACTTCACTGCCACTGTCAGGTAGTGTAACGATAATCCTCCTCCTCTTCATCTGTAACACAAGACAACACAGGCATATATATTATTATTAATTAGTCCAGCTTGCAGCGTACATAGTATAGTATTAACAATATATGTAATGTATGCACATTAATTATATGGATAAAAGATACACACGTCACCTGATTTAGTAAAATTTTTGCCATCTTTGAAAGATCCAACCCTAGGTTATCGCATAGCCTATGGCAATTAGACAAGTCCATGTTACTAATGCCTTGCATGTCTTCGTCTTCCAACATCTTTGACAATGTTGAAAATCTTCCCAGCGATATGCAATCAGTCATATTGATCCATGCTATAGATGCTGGAAGTTGTACTAGAATTTCTTCAAGCCTCTTGCAACCCCTCAAATTAAGCCCCCGCAAGTTGACACATTTGCTAATGCACACAGGAAGACTGACAAAATTGCTTTCGGATAGATCAATTTCCATTAAGTTGGACCACCAACAAAAATTCTCCAAGGAATCAATATTTGATACGTTGCACTCTTGAAAACGCATCTCCCTCCGCCTCATTAAGTCGCCATCGCGTGGACTGTTTGCGTTGGTTCAAACCTCCAAAGGAAGTGATTCTGCACTCGATAAACCTTCAGAGATCAAGTTATTTGGAAGTGTGACAAGTTTTCGGCATCGACTGAAATTAATAATATCCAGATTTTGCAACCCATAAATACTTTGTGGCAGATTTTCAAGGTTTTCACATCCTCGTAAATATAATTCTTTAAGCACAGCGAGATTTCCAATTGATGAAGGCAACTCTACTATAGCACTTCTATCTAACCGTAAAAGTTCCAGGGCAGTGAGATTTCCAACGGATGAAGGCAATTCTTTTATAGCAGTGCCAATTAAGCCCAATTTTTTCAGCCCAATGAGTTGTCCAATTGATGCAGGCAACTCTTTTATAGAATATTTAAAAAAGCTCAATTTTTTCAGCCCAATGAGATGTCCAATTGATGCGGGCAACTCTTTTATAGCATTTCTCTCTAACCATAACTCTTCCAGCCCAATGAGTTGTCCAATTGATGCAGGCAACTCTTTTATAGAATATTTAAAAAAGCTCAATTTTTTCAGCCCAATGAGATGTCCAATTGATGCTGGCAACTCTTTTATAGCATTTCTCTCTAACCATAACTCTTCCAGCCCAATGAGTTGTCCAATTGATGTAGGCAACTCTTTTATAGAATATTTAAAAAAGCTCAATTTTTTCAGCCCAATGAGTTGTCCAATTGATGCAGGCAACTCTTTTATAGCATTTCTCTCTAACCATAACTCTTCCAGCCCAATGAGTTGTCCAATTGATGCAGGCAACTCTTTTATAGCATTTCTCTCTAACCATAACTCTTCCAGCCCAATGAGTTGTCCAATTGATGTAGGCAACTCTTTTATAGAATATTTAAAAAAGCTCAATTTTTTCAGCCCAATGAGTTGTCCAATTGATGCAGGCAACTCTTTTATAGCAGTTCTCCCAAGGTCCAATGTAATTGAGGATTCCATTTTGTCCACAATTTCTGGGAAACTCTCCAACTTTTTGCAACCGTAAAGAAGAAATAATTTCAGAGATTTCAAGCCAACTTTATTTGGAAACTTCGTGAGTTCACAGCAGTAATCAAAGTTCAATGTTTCAATTTTATCAAGATATCCAACAGATGGATGAACCTCGACTAAACTTGTACAACCACTCGCATTCAAGTACCTTAAGTTTGGGCTGCTGGATAGGTCGGGGATTTCAGTTAGGAATTCAGATCCCGAGAAATTCAGAAATGTCAACTTTTCCATATGCTGTGAAATAAAAAAATAATCATAATCAAATGATAGCATTAAAGAAATTTACAACATAAATCAGTTAATAAACGAGACCTCTTAAAGTACCTTCAATCCCTCCCCTAGTTGTTTGATGAGGCTGTAAGGCAGATTGAGCAACCTTAGTCCCTTTGGACGAAAATTGGGTGGAAAAGATTGGAGCGGACATCTATACCAATGAAGCACTCTCAACGTGTTTGGGAGATAACCAATGTCTCCAGAAAGACATACGTTATAGTTCATGAGAATTTTAAGATTTTTCATCTTCGAGAAGCAGTCAACATCCAAGAATATCTCATCATCTTGTTTGGGGAAATTTAACATGATGCCTGTGATTTTATTTGTTCCCTAATAGAAAAAAGAAAAATGTACCAAGTGTTACGAAGTATTTATAATTTAAAAAAAAAAAATTATACTTAACACACATGTGTTACTTATTGAATTAAATAAAACTTTACACTCACATATATAATTTAATTTACTTACTGTATCATTCATCAGAACATGCTCGACATCTTCATGAAACCACAATCTGCTACGTCCTCCGGGTTCAGTGGGCGACTCCTGCTCAATTATGTCCTTACCCATCTTTTCTAGTAAGTCATGCATCTGAATATAACTTCCTTCAACACTTATGAGGGCCTTTTCTATGAGTACATCATTGCCATGTTAGCTCACAAGCGTCTTTCACATACTTTTTATTTGTACCCTTAAAGAAACAGGCAATGTCGAGGAAAACCTTCTTTACTCTATCATCCAAGGCATTGTAACTTATTTTGAGAACTTCTTGAATTTGTGTGCCTTGGAAACCATCCAATGCACGTTGCCATTTATCTATACTTCCACCACATAGATAAGAACCCAGAACTTTCAAGGCCAAAGGAAGGCCTTGAGCATAGCGTATTGCACTTTCTGCAAGTTTCACATAATCATCCAAAGAAGGCCCACTTCTTTTGAAGGCATGCCAACAGAAGAGCTCAAGAGCTTCAGGATCATCTAAAATCTTGACCTCATGTATTAAATTAGCTTGATGAGCAGTTAACAGTTGTTTATCCCTTGTTGTTATGATAATTCTACTGCCTACACCAAACCAATCACATGCCCCAACTAACTTGTGTAACTGTTCCATGTCATCAACGTCATCAAGAACCAAGAGAACCTTTCTACAACTCAACCTTTGCTTTATCATAGTTGGCCCTTTATGAACGTTGGCCACCTCCAAATTTGTATCCCTTAGAATCTCATAAAGAAGAGTCCTCTGTAGTTTGGCTAAACCTCCTCCCTGCCACGTTGAACATTCTCTGACGTTTGCCAAAAAAGAACAGCCTTCAAATTCGTGGGCAATTGAATTATAAACAGCTGTAGCAATTGTGGTCTTACCAATTCCACCAGTTCCCCATACACCTACCATACGAACATCGTTTTCCCTCAAATCCAAAAGCTCAATTATATCTTCTACAGGATGGTGCATTCCAACTGGATACTCTGTCACATACAAATATGTGCGGTCTATTACTTCCCGTGAAATGTGTTGAACGATATTATGAATCAGTTCAGCTTCAGATCTATGTCTGCCAATTTAAAAGCATATGAAACATTTAATCACATGGCATTTTTGTATAAAAAGTAATTTAAAAAGGGCAATTAAGGAACATAATACACACAAAAAAGAAGAGAATTTAGAGCAACAATGAATAAATTAAGGGGGTTAGAAATTTACTCGTCCAAAGGGAACCCTGACAAAGCTGCTTCTTGTGAAAGTGCCGCCCTCCATTTCTTGACCTTGTCCATCTCATCTTCGTATTTCCGCTCCATGTTACCCAGTGCATCCCCGAAGCTTCCTCTATGATTCCGTACATTTGATGGATTCACCTTGTAAAAAACTGGGATGACCAATTGTTGATTTGATTCTTTGCAATCAAGAATCTTAACAAGCTCATCCAAGCACCACTTTGAGGAGGCATAGTTTTCGGAGAACACCACCACAGAAATCTTTGAGCCTTCAATTGCTGTGAGAAGCGCGTTTGATATTTCTTCTCCTCTTCTGAGCTCATCATCATCCATGAAGGTGTTAATTCCTTGTAGACGCAAATTGCTATACAAATGGCTTGTGAAATTTGAGCGAGTGTCAAAACCTCTGAAGCTCAGAAAGACATGGTATTTCCATGACTTGGTGAAAGGAGCAGAAGAAGAAGAGGCTCCTCGGTTGGCCATGGAAGCCAAAGATAATTGTTTCAGTGTTTGCTTCTCTCTTTGGATTCGCTAAACAAAATATGAGTGTTTTTTACTTGAAGAGCTTGGATGTGAGCAAATGTAAAAGGCAATGTGAATTCATGAAATGGTGAGCAAGTGTCGGTGAAACTTCCTGTCTTCAACTGAGACGACCTGTCCGTGTCAATGCTTGTTGACAATTAAACCCACCGGATGTTTTCTCCTTTTGCTGAAAAGTCTCTCTCTCTCTCAAAAGAGGGGCCATTATTGCTGTTTTGAAGAGATTAAATGAAACTGGGATGACCACAACAGTTTACAATGATATTAAACCAAAACAAATAATATGGGAATAAAATATTCTGAAAATAATTTTCGTTGTTGCTGTTATTTACGTAACAGTTGAGATCGTTTAATATGGGATTTGAGAAATGTGAGAAGGGAAATGATGAAAACATCTAAAAGTTGAGATCGTTTTCAATTATTAGTTTTCCGTGTTTTCAAACTTAACAGCACCGAACGCGTTTTTAGTTGTTTTCATTCTCAGAAAACAGAAAACCGGGTGGGAAAATGATAACGAACGGGCCCTTATTGTTTGGCTGTAGTCAGAAAACAGAGACGTCTTACTTGAAGAGTTTCGGTGACGTTCTCTTTGCTTTGCATCTAATGTGAATTCATGAAAAGATGAGGACGTTTACTTCTAGTTTACAATGATAAATGTTCTCTTATAATTCTTACGCGTTTTCAAGTGATGGAGAGCCCACAACAGGACTTCTTGGTTTCCTAGAAATGTTGCTCACAGCGTGTGAGCAAATGCAAAAGCTTTCTCTTTAATTTTAAAAGGGTGCTTTTCCCAGCAAGAGACTTTTTTTCTTTTCAAATAACGTTTTATAAGCTAAATTAAGATAAAGGAAGATAGAATTTCTATATTTGATTTTATTGATTGAACTTTGTCAAAGGAAACCTCATACGTACTGTGTATGCAAGATGCATTTCATAAAGATAATTAGGTATAAAAGTAATGGAAGAAAATCATATACGAGTTTTTAAAGTATTAATGTTGGGATGGTTGATCGTTATCCAAATCTTTAGCTGATTCCATTGAATCTCTATTTGTTTATTAGTAAATCAGGGGACATTTGTTATTAAGCTAAATGAAGATAAAGGAAGATAGAATTTCTATATTTGATTTTATTGATTTAACTATGTCAAAGGAAACCTCATACTGTGTATGCAAGATGGATTTCATAAAGATAATTAGGTATAAAAGTAATGGAAGAAAATCATATACGAGTTTTTACAGTATTAATATTGGGATGGTTGATCGTTATCCAAATCTTTAGCTGAACGAAAAGAAAAAAAAAACAAACCAAACCAAACCAAAAAACCGAGAGGGGAGGATTGGGTGGGGCCGACTGGTGGTGATGACAAGGTAAGGTGTGGGTGACGGTGATGAGATGGTGGCGTGCAAGGAGGAGAAGATGGGATGCTAGGGTTTGGGGAAGAAGGTGGGAATGGCTAGAGATGGTTTTATTTTTATTTTTCAAGTTTATATATTTATTTATATTTTATATTTGCTTAAAAAAATTATTATTTATTTTAGAAAAAGAAAAGGAAATAATGTTAAAATGAAGTAAAAAGAAATTAATGTAGAGTAAGGGTAGAATATGAAAGAGAAAGAACAAAAAATGATTAAAAAATATTAAAAAGGCAAAAGGGAGTGTAAGTGGAGAAAAGGAGAGTGGGAAAATCAGCTCCTTTTTTTGTTGTTGGAAAAATATAGGCATCATTGGAAAAACATGGAAAAATGCATTCGTATGATTTGGAAGACTATTAAAAATAAAAATGTATTTACTCTTACATAAAGGAATGTGCAATAGTCTCATATTTTGTATTTTTTTCACTTTAAAATATATAATTTTCTTTGGATTACCCACCCTAAACTATAATTTTCCCCATTCAATATCGACTCTCAAATTTCAGGTACGAAAAAAATAAAAAATACATACAATAGCTTAGAACAAAAATCAGAATTTGACTAAGTGGCGAAATAAAATTAATTTGATATGAAATATATTGCTAAAAGTACCTTAAAATATATATGAAAAATTATATTTATTATTACTAGAATAAGTGAACTTGTAGGTAAATATAGCAAATCTCCTCCCTCCCCTTGTAGGTAAATATAGCAAATCTCCTAAATATATATATATATATATATAATCTCCTCCCTATAGTCAAACTCAAATTCACTCACATTCTATTAAGAAGGGTCACACACTTTGCATTTCTAAAAACAAAAAGAGAATCTTAGAAACTGTTCACCCCGTTTTGTGATTACTCATGAGATGGAAGGGCAAAGTTCCCCATTGCCTTGAAAAACATTGACTGGTCAACAAGTCAGCTTTCTTTGGTGTATGAGCGTGCCACTGATAGCAATGAAGATTCTAGCATACTTATTCTAGAATAGATAACTTGCGCCCCAAGTTACTGATTTCTATAAACAAACGATTGTGAATTTGGGTGAGGAATATCTCCTAAGTAAGTTCTTTTCTTGCCTCAGACTGGTGAGGACTTTAACAATTTATCTCATTATAAAGAGGTTGTTCTGGCCAGAATGGCTGATGGAATTTAAGTTGTCTTAGGCAGAATTGCCTTTTACAAAACTATAAAAATAAATATCCACGCTAGAAAGATAAAAAGACAGCTGGAACTCCATTTATGCCTGGATAGAAGGCTCTGATCCGAGCTGGACTGGAAGTATCTGGACTGGTCTAAACTGTCAACAACTTCAACTGCTAAGCTTCAGCTGTAAATCAATACCAAAGGTCAATTTTGGCAGAGCTTTAATATACTTCAAGCTTTTATGAGGCTTTTGAGTGGGCAGAACTGCTGTTTCTTCAGTCTGAAAGGGCAGAAGTGGCTGTTCTTGAAGACTTCAGTGGGCTAGAGACTGCACTGTAAAATTTGTTGAGGTTTTCGTGTTTGGGAAAAGCTCAAGCTCTACCTATCTTGGTTTTTTGCTGAACCAAATTTGTAACGAGAGAAATCTCGTTTTAAATGACTTATTTTCTAAGTCTGAACCTTGAAAATTCTGATCTAAAGCTGGTTTCACTTGGAATTCAAGTGAGCTTTTGGTTGATTTTGAGTTGTTTGTTTGATTGATGATTTGAGTGTAGGATTGATTATCCTTTGCCCTGTTCACTCATTCTTGTATTTATAAGAAATGTTATCTGGAGTAGGGTAATTCTTTTAATAATGGGCGGCAAATCCTTTTAAAAAGATCTTTCCTTTAAAAATGGAAAGGAAAGGGGATTTCATCAGTTTTTGGTAGATAGGTTCTTAATAGGCAATCACTTCCCTATTTTTCTTGAAAGAGAACCTAATCTTTTCTTTTAATTTCAACTGCCCCTTTGTGAGAGCTAAAAAACCGTGATGGTTAGTTTGATTTCTTTTCTGGACAGCTCCTTGTTTCCTGCTTATCTCTTTCGAAGTTTGCTTATCTCTCTGACAAGATGGTGCCTCCTTTGGAGTGGAGACAATATCCCAGAATATATATAAGAGGGGTCTTGATCTTCAGCTGGCAGAGTTTTCATAAAAGAATTTTTGCTTGATGGCATTAATTTTTCCAATCACTTCTCCTATGACAGTTGTCATTGTTGACTTTTCCTAACTCAGAGATGTCACATGGATTTGTTTCCTGTTTCTGGGCTCCCTTTTTTTTTTTATCACAACGGGCCTATTTTTTGGAGCCCTAGGGCTGTTTTGCTTTTTGAGGCCCAAGTTTGTTTGTCTAGTTTGATAAGCTTTGGGCTGGGCCTTTCTGGATTTTGGGCTTCTGTTTTCGGTTTTTTCAAAGACCAAATTGTTTGAGTTTTGTAGCTTTATTCTGGGCTTCTTTTTTGTTGGGCTGGGCGTGCCAAATTAGGCCCAAACAGAAACATATTGGGGGTGAAGGATAGAAATTGGATATGGGCAATAGATATCCAAACATAGATGCCTTCTCCTTTCTCAACATGGCCGTCCCGATTTTGGCATTATTCATGTTCGCCACCCATGACATGGGTACATGGTAGTTTTGTGTTCAATAATTCACGCATACTTAATCAGACCGATGCCTTGATTAATTACGCGTGACATCCAATTACCAGCTGTCATCGATTTATGATTTTTACATTCTTTAGCACATACCGATGTTGTTACATAAGAAGATAGCAAAACAATAAATATAAAGACATCACCGGGTTTATATTTGGACTAATAATACAACACAAGGTCATTATTATGACATCAAAATAATCAAGAGGACGTCGTCTTGAGGTGTCTTGCCAAGAGGCATTCAAAAATAGAAATATCTGAAAATAAGGAGATGCTAAAGATACAAAAACGAACACTTGGGGCACGCAGCTTATAATCTCTTCCCAGAGGAAGATGACTCACTTAATAATCTGCAAGATAAAAACAAATGAGGCGTGAGCAAACAACCTACTTATATACTAACTCAGTTATACCTGTCATGTAAGATCACATGCCAACCTATTCCAAGTCAGTTTTCAACATCATAGTAAAGCCACTCACCTTTTGGTCCAGACTCGAAGTAAGTTTTCAACATCAACACCTAAAAGAGTACACGAAACATAATTACCATAGAATTCTTCTACGATTGAAACACACGAAATGGTAAACAACAATACAAAACGTAAAAATATTAAAAATAAAAACTCATTACCAATTTTGTGTTGAAAGGGAGGCTAACAATAAAAAATAAAATAAAATAAAGTGATGCAAACTCACATTGAAATGCAGACAGAGGTCATATATTTGCTCTCTTTCTGGGTCCAACTTCATCACCTACATCATCATCATCATCAAATTCATTTTCATCAATATGTTTGCCATCATCATCACCATCCTTTGACATACTGATAGGACCAAGGTGGGCCCCAATGCTTTTGATGTGCAACCCTTTGCCGTAAACAGTAACTCGAAAAATAGGTGCCGTTGATTGTACATCAGAAATTGGAATACATTTCAGCCACACATTACCTTCCCCTGTCTCTCTTCCATCCAGATCCATCTCATCTTGATAATCATCCAAATAAAAAAAAAAAGATAACAAGAATACGGACGTCCAAGTAAAATAGGGCTAACAAATGATTCCGGAATTTCCCAAACAACAAACAAAACCAATTTTTTGTTCTCCAATACGGAAGTCCAAGGAATTTCAATAGGAAGTTCGTAATTACGAGCACTCATGCCATCACCATTAAAGTCATCACCAAAAGTGAACCACTCTGGAACTTCACTGCCATTGTCAGGTAGTGTAACGATAATCCTCACACTCCTCTTCATCTGTAACACAACACAACACATGCATATATATTATTATTAATTAGTCCAGCTTGCAGCGTACATAGTATAGTATGAACAATATATGTAATGTATGCATATTAATTATATAGATAAAAGATGCATACGTCACCTGATTCAGGAAAAAATTTGCCATCTTTGAAAGATCCAGCCCTAGGTTATCGCATAGCCTATGGCAATTAGAGAAGTTCATGTTACTAATGCCTTGCATGTCTTCGTCTTCCAATATCTTTGACAATGTTGAAAATCTTTCCAGTGATATGCAATCAGTCATATCGATCGTTGCTACAAACGCTGGAAGTTGTACTAGAATTTCTACAAGACTCTTGCAACCGCTCAAATTAAGCTCCTGCAAGTTGACACATTTGCTAATGCACACAGGAAGACTGACAAAATTGCTTTCGGATAGATCAATATCCACTAAGTTGGACCCAAAAAAAAAATTCTCCAAGGAATCAATATTTGATACTTTGCACTCTCGAAAATGCATCTGGCTCTGCCTCATGAAGTCGCCATCGCGTGGACTGTTTGCGTTGGTTCGAACCTCCAAAAGAAGTGACTCTGCACTCGATAAACCTTCAGAGATCAAGTTATTTGGAAGTGTGACAAGTTTTGGGCATTGATTGAGATCAATATAATCTAGATTTTGCAACTCAAATACTTTTTTGCAGCTTTTCAAGGTTTTCACATCTTCCTAAATTTAATTCTTCAAGTGCAGTGAGATTTCCAATTGATGAAGGCAACTTTTCTATAGCACTTCCGTCTAACAGTAAAAATCTTAGGGCAGTGAGATTTCCAACGGATGAAGGCAATTCTTTTATAGCAGTTTTATATAAGTCCAATTCAATTAAGGATTCCATTTTGTCCACAATTTCTGGGAAACTCTCCAACTTTATGCAACCGTAAAGAAGAAATAATTTCAGAGATTTCAACCCAACTTTATTTGGAAGCTTCGTGAGTTCACGGCAGTGACTAAAGTCCAATTCTTCAAGTTTATCAAGATATCCAACAGATGGATGAACCTCAACTAAACTTGGACATTAATTCGCATTCAAGTACCTTAAGTTCGGGCTGCTGGATAGGTCGGGGATTTCAGTTAGGAATTCAGATCCAAAGAAATTCAGAGATGTCAACTTTTTCATATGCTGTGAAATTTTTAAAAAAAAAAATCAAACGGATAACATTAAAGAAATTTACAACATAAATCAGTTAATAAACGAGACCTCTTAAAGTACCTTCAATCCCTCCCCTAGTTGTTTGATGCGGCTGTAAGGCAGACTGAGCACAGCTAGTCCCTTTGGACGAAAATTGGGTGGAAAAAATTGGAACGGACATCCATGCCAATCAAGAACTCTCAGATTATTTGGGATAGAACTAGCGTCTCCAGAAAGACATACATTGTGGATTATGAGAATTTTAAGATTTTTCATCTTCGATAAGCTTTTGCCAACATCCAAGAGTTTAAGATTTTTCATCTTTGAGAAGCTTCTGCCAACATCCAAGAATATCTCATCATCTAGTTTGGGGAAATTTAACATGGTGCCTGTGATTTTATTTGTAACCTAATAGAAAAAAGAAAAATGTACCAAGTGTTACGAAGTATTTATAATTTTAAAAAAATTATACTTAACACACAACATGTGTTACTTATTGAATTAAATAAAACTTTACACTCACATATATAATTTAATTTACTTACTGTTATCATTCTTCATAACATCCTTGACATCTTCATGATGAAACCACAATCTACTACATCCTCCGGGTTCAGTGGGGGACTCCTGCTTAATTATGTCCTTACCCATCTTTTCTAGTAAGTCATGCATCTGAATATAACTTCCTTCAACACTTATGAGGGCCTTTTCTATGAGTACATCAATGCCATATCGAGCGTTTAGCTCACAAGAGTCTTCCACATACTTTCTATCTTTACCCTTAAAGAAACATGCAATGTCAAGGAAAACCTCCTGTATACTGTGATCCAATGCATTGTAACTTATTTGGAGAACGTCTTGAATTTCCCTGCTTTTGGAACCATTCAATATAGCTTCCTATTTATCTATACTTCCACCACATAGACAACAATCGAGAATTTTCAAAGCCAAAGGAAGGCCTTGAGCATAGAGTATTGCACGTTCTGCAAGTTTCACATAATCACCCAAAGGAGGCCCACTTCTTTTGAAGGCATGCCAACATAAGAGCTCAAGAGCTTCAGGATCATCTAAAAACTGGACCTCATGTATTAAATTAACATGATGGGCAGTTAACACTTGCTTATCCCTTGTTGTTATGATAATTCTGCTGCCTACACCAAACCAATCACATGCCCCAACTAACTTGTGTAACCGTTCTATGTTATCCACGTCATCAAGAACCAAGAGAACCTTTCTACAACTCAACCTTTGCTTTATCATAGTGGCCCCTTTATGAACATTGGGCACCTCCAAATTTGTATCCCTTAGAATCTCATAAAGAAGAGTCCTCTGTAGTTTGGCTAAACCTCCTCATTGCCACGTTGAACATTCTCTGACGTTTGCCAAAAAAGAACAGCCTTCAAATTCGTGGGCAATTGAATTATAAACAGCTGTAGCAATTGTGGTCTTACCAATTCCACCAGTTCCCCATAACCCTACCATACTAACATCGTTTTTCCCCAAATCTAAAAGCTAAATTATATCTTCTACAGAATGGTGCATTCCAACTGGATACTCTGTCACATACAAATATGTACGGTCTATTACTTCCCGTGAAATGTGTTGAAAAATTACAATTATAATAGGAATTCTTTGTGTGTAAGGAAAGTAAGATCCACAAGTCACGCCAACATTCTTCCACGATTGAAACACACTAAATGGTAAACAACAATACAACAAGTAAAAATATCAAAAATAAAAACTCATTACCAATTTTGTGCTGAAAGGGAGGCTAATAATAAAAAATAAAATAAAATAAAGTGATGCGAACTCACATTGAAATGCAGACAGAGGTCATATATTTGTTCTCTTTCTGGGTCCAACTTCATCACCTACATCGTCATCATCATCTAATTCATTTTCATCAATATGTTTGCCATCATCATCACCATCCTTTGACAAACTGATAGGAGCCAGGTGGGCCCCAATGCTTTTGATGCGCAACCCTTTGCCGAAAACAGTAACTCGAAAAATAGGCGTCTTTAATTGTTCAAAAGAAATTGGAATACATTCCAACCACACATTACCTTTCCCGGTCTCTCTTCCAAACAAATACATGTGATCTCTATAATCATCCAAACAAAATACAAGAGAACAAGGGCTAACAAATGATTCCGTAATTTCCCAAACAACAAACAAAACCAATTTTGTGTTCTCCAATACTAAAGTCCAAGGAATTTCAATAGGAAGGTTGTAATTACGAACACTCCTGCCATCAACATCAACGTAATCAAATTTACTTTCATCATAGTCATCAAAGTCATCACCAAAAGTGAACCACTCAGGAACTTCACTGCCACTGTCAGGTAGTGTAACGATAATCCTCTCACTCCTCTTCATCTGTAACACAACACAACACAGACATATATATTATTATTAATTAGTCCAGCTTGCAGCGTACATAGTATAGTATTAACAATATATGTAATGTATGCATATTAATTATATAGATAAAAGATACATACGTCACCTGATTCAGTAAAAATTTTGCCATCTTCGAAAGATCCAACCCTAGGTTATCGCATAGCCTATGGCAATTAGACAAGTTCATGTTACTAATGCCTTGCATGTCTTCGCCTTCCAATATCTTTGACAATGTTGAAAATCTTTCCAGTGATATGCAATTAGTCATATCGATCCATGCTACAGACGTTGGAAGTTGTACTAGAATTTCTACAAGCCTCTTGCAACCCCTCAAATTAAGCTCCCGCAAGTTGACACATTTGCTAATGCACCCAGGAAGACTGACAAAATTGCTTTCGGATAGATTAGCTATCGCTAAGTTGGACCAGCAACAAAAATTCTCCAAGGAATCAATATTTGATACATTGCACTCTTGAAAATACATCTCCTCATGCGTCATGAAGTTGCCATCGCATGGACTGTTTGCGTTGGTTCGAACCTCCAAAGGAAGTGATTCTGCACTCGATAAAGCTTCAGAGATCAAGTTATTTGGAAGTGTGACAAGTTTTGGGCATTGACTGAGATCAATAATACCCAAATTTTGCAACCCATAAATACTTTGTGGCAGATTTGCAAGGTTTTCACATCCTTGTAAATATAATAGTTGAAGTGCAGTGAGATTTCCAATTGATGAAGGCAACTCTTCTATAGCACTTCCCTCTAACCATAAACGTTGTAGGGCAGTGAGATTTCCAACGGATGAAGGCAATTCTTTCATAGCAGTTTTAGATAAGTGCAATTCTTTCAGCCCAATGAGATGTTCAATTGATGTAGGCAACTCTTTTATAGCACTTTCAGATAAGCTCATTATTTCCAGCCCAATGAGATGTCGAATTGATGCAGGCAACTCTTTTATATTAGTTCTCCGAAGGTCCAATTCAATTAAGGATTCCATTTTGTCCACAATTTCTGGGAAACTCTCCAACTTTATGCAATCGTAAAGAAAAAATAATTTCAGAGATTTCAACCCAACTTTATTTGGAAACTTCGTGAGTTCACAGCAGTGACAAAATTTCAATTCTTCAAGTTTATCAAGATATCCAACAGATGGATGAACCTCGACTAAGCTTGTACAACGATTCGCATACAAATACCTTAAGTTTAGGCTGCTGGATAGGTCGGGGATTTCAGTTAGCAATTGAGATCCCCTGAAATCCAGAGTTGTCAACTTTTTCATATGCTGTGAAATAAATAAATAATAATAGTCAAATGGATAGCATTAAAGAAATTTACAACATAAATCAGTTAATAAATGAGACCTCTTAAAGTACCTTCAATCCCTCTCCTAGTTGTTTGATGCGGCTGTAAGGCAGACTGAGCACAACTAGTCTAGTTGGACGAAAATTGGGTGGTAAAAATTGGAACGGACATCCATGCCATTCAAGAACTCTCAAATTGTTTGGGATAGAACTAGCATCTCCAGAAAGGCATACATTGTGGTTTATGAGAATTTTAAGATTTTTCATCTTCGAGAAGCTTCTGCCAACATCCAAGAATATCTCATCATCTTTTTTGGGGAAATTTAATAGGATGCCTGTGATTTTATTTGTTCCCTAATAGAAAAAAGAAAAATATATCAAGTGTTACAAAGCATTTATAATTTTAAAAAAATTATACTTAACACACAACATGTTAGTTATTGAATTAAACAAAACTTTACACTCACATATATAATTTAATTTACTTACTGCATTATTCGTCAGGACATGCTTGACATCTTCATGAAACCACAATCTGCTACGTCCTCCGGGTTCAGTAGGCGACTCCTGCTCAATTATGTCCTTACCCATCTTTTCTAGTAAGTCATGCATCTGAATATAACTACTTTCAACACTTACGAGGGCCTTTTCTATGAGTACATCAATGCCATATCTAGTGTTTAGCTCACAAGCGTCTTTCACATACTTTTTATTTGTACCCTTAAAGAAACAGGCAATGTCGAGGAAAACCTTCTTTACTCTATCATCCAAGGCATTGTAACTTATTTTGAGAACTTCTTGAATTTGTGTGCCTTGGAAACCATCCAATGCACGTTGCCATTTATCTATACTTCCACCACATAGATAAGAACCCAGAACTTTCAAGGCCAAAGGAAGGCCTTGAGCATAGCGTATTGCACTTTCTGCAAGTTTCACATAATCATCCAAAGAAGGCCCACTTCTTTTGAAGGCATGCCAACAGAAGAGCTCAAGAGCTTCAGGATCATCTAAAATCTTGACCTCATGTATTAAATTAACTTGATGAGCAGTTAACAGTTGCTTATCCCTTGTTGTTATGATAATTCTACTGCCTACACCAAACCAATCACATGCCCCAACTAACTTGTGTAACTGTTCCATGTCATCAACGTCATCAAGAACCAAGAGAACCTTTCTACAACTCAACCTTTGCTTTATCATAGTTGGCCCTTTATGAACGTTGGCCACCTCCAAATTTGTATCCCTTAGAATCTCATAAAGAAGAGTCCTCTGTAGTTTGGCTAAACCTCCTCCCTGCCACGTTGAACATTCTCTGACGTTTGCCAAAAAAGAACAGCCTTCAAATTCGTGGGCAATTGAATTATAAACAGCTGTAGCAATTGTGGTCTTACCAATTCCACCAGTTCCCCATACACCTACCATACGAACATCGTTTTCCCTCAAATCCAAAAGCTCAATTATATCTTCTACAGGATGGTGCATTCCAACTGGATACTCTGTCACATACAAATATGTGCGGTCTATTACTTCCCGTGAAATGTGTTGAACGATATTATGAATCAGTTCAGCTTCAGATCTATGTCTGCCAATTTAAAAGCATATGAAACATTTAATCACATGGCATTTTTGTATAAAAAGTAATTTAAAAAGGGCAATTAAGGAACATAATACACACAAAAAAGAAGAGAATTTAGAGCAACAATGAATAAATTAAGGGGGTTAGAAATTTACTCGTCCAAAGGGAACCCTGACAAAGCTGCTGCTTGTGAAAGTGCCGCCCTCCATTTCTTGACCTTGTCCATCTCATCTTCGTATTTCCGCCCCATGTTAGCCAGTGCATCCCCGAAGCTTCCTCTATGATTCCGTACATTTGATGGATTCACCTTGTAAAAAACTGGGATGACCAATTGTTGATTTGATTCTTTGCAATCAAGAATCTTAACAAGCTCATCCAAGCACCACTTTGAGGAGGCATAGTTTTCGGAGAACACCACCACAGAAATCTTTGAGCCTTCAATTGCTGTGAGAAGCGCGTTTGATATTTCTTCTCCTCTTCTGAGCTCATCATCATCCATGAAGGTGTTAATTCCTTGTAGACGCAAATTGCTATACAAATGGCTTGTGAAATTTGAGCGAGTGTCAAAACCTCTGAAGCTCAGAAAGACATGGTATTTCCATGACTTGGTGAAAGGAGCAGAAGAAGAAGAGGCTCCTCGGTTGGCCATGGAAGCCAAAGATAATTGTTTCAGTGTTTGCTTCTCTCTTTGGATTCGCTAAACAAAATATGAGTGTTTTTTACTTGAAGAGCTTGGATGTGAGCAAATGTAAAAGGCAATGTGAATTCATGAAATGGTGAGCAAGTGTCGGTGAAACTTCCTGTCTTCAACTGAGACGACCTGTCCGTGTCAATGCTTGTTGACAATTAAACCCACCGGATGTTTTCTCCTTTTGCTGAAAAGTCTCTCTCTCTCTCAAAAGAGGGGCCATTATTGCTGTTTTGAAGAGATTAAATGAAACTGGGATGACCACAACAGTTTACAATGATATTAAACCAAAACAAATAATATGGGAATAAAATATTCTGAAAATAATTTTCGTTGTTGCTGTTATTTACGTAACAGTTGAGATCGTTTAATATGGGATTTGAGAAATGTGAGAAGGGAAATGATGAAAACATCTAAAAGTTGAGATCGTTTTCAATTATTAGTTTTCCGTGTTTTCAAACTTAACAGCACCGAACGCGTTTTTAGTTGTTTTCATTCTCAGAAAACAGAAAACCGGGTGGGAAAATGATAACGAACGGGCCCTTATTGTTTGGCTGTAGTCAGAAAACAGAGACGTCTTACTTGAAGAGTTTCGGTGACGTTCTCTTTGCTTTGCATCTAATGTGAATTCATGAAAAGATGAGGACGTTTACTTCTAGTTTACAATGATAAATGTTCTCTTATAATTCTTACGCGTTTTCAAGTGATGGAGAGCCCACAACAGGACTTCTTGGTTTCCTAGAAATGTTGCTCACAGCGTGTGAGCAAATGCAAAAGCTTTCTCTTTAATTTTAAAAGGGTGCTTTTCCCAGCAAGAGACTTTTTTTCTTTTCAAATAACGTTTTATAAGCTAAATTAAGATAAAGGAAGATAGAATTTCTATATTTGATTTTATTGATTGAACTATGTCAAAGGAAACCTCATACGTACTGTGTATGCAAGATGCATTTCATAAAGATAATTAGGTATAAAAGTAATGGAAGAAAATCATATACGAGTTTTTAAAGTATTAATGTTGAGATGGTTGATCGTTATCCAAATCTTTAGCTGATTCCATTGAATCTCTATTTGTTTATTAGTAAATCAGGGGACATTTGTTATTAAGAGTAAGTGGTTCTTTTAGTATGAAATTTCTTGCTTAATGAGTTTAGATTATAAAAATCAGCTGAATGTTTGAGATTATAAAAATCATGTTTTCTACAAGTAAAAATTTAGAGAAACGAGCGAATTACATGGGAGACTCTGCCGAATTTTCAACAGAAGTCAAACTTGAAGAAAAGCATTTTGGAAACTTAAAAGGGCACTTTGATCAAAAGTGCCTGGCACCTGCCAGATGTCAAACAAGCACAAAGTTCGACTCAGGTTCCAAAGTGGAATTTGGGTCGGGTCTTGTCAACAATATCTCTAACTCACTGATATTTCCCTCTTGGAGAATTTCTCTGCTCTCGTTTCTCTCCTATCACTCTTCTTTCTGTCTTCCTTCCTCTTTGCCTGGGTTCTCATTTTTCTTCTCTGATGATGTGTCTCATTATAATTAGGGGAATGATAGCAACTTTTTCTCCAACCTTCTCCTTTAGACCTTCTTCCTTTTCTTCATGACATGTGTCACTTTCTTTCACTTAAAACAATGTAACTAATGCATCAAACAAGCTAACATTTGTTTTCCAAGTTTACCCTTATTAAATATTTTGTTCTTAATTTGTTCAAAAACAATTTTACAACTCTCTTACCAAATGTAAAAAATTAAATAATAAAAAATTTCAGTTTTAAAAAAAATATATCTATTTTTTTTTCAAAGATAAAACTTCTATTTTTTTTAACACAAAAGAATGACCTAAAAAAAGTTAAAGGGCATTTTCAGTGACAACTAAAATATATATATAACCCCAAATAATTAGATTCCATAGGAAGTTCATAGTTTTATTTATATTTATTTATATCCCTTGCTGCCTTTGGAGTCTGATTATTTGAAAAAACAAAATCCTAAAATTTTGGCATACCAAATTTTATATTTAAACCAATGTCTCTCCTACTCCCTTTGGAATCTTTCAGGCAACAAAAAATAAAACTAACGTTTTTTCTTATTTAATTTTTAAGTCTTATTAAAGAAAATGGATAAATTAAAGAAAACAGTAAAATCAATATATTTAATAAGGATAAAATTGGAAAACTAATGATGGCTTGTTTGATGCATTAATTACATTGTTTTAAGTGTAAGGAAATGAACACATGTCATGAAGAAAAGAAAAAAGGTCCAAAAAAGAAAGTTGGAGAGATGATTACTAGTATTTCCCTTACAATTATTTCTTGGCCTCCCGTGAATGTGCAATTATTTCTTTTACAACACCGTCATCATCACTTTACCCAATCGGACAACAAGTCTTCAAATGAATAGTTAATGGGCTCCACCACATTTAAAAAAAAAAAATCAATTCTTCTATTTTTCTTATAACAATTGTACGCTATAACAGGACGTGTTTCCTACTTAAACAAAACTACATGATTAAAACTCAAAAAGAAAGAAAGAAAGAGAAAAATCAAACTATTTGGCCATTTCTCTTTCTATTTCTAACATTCACATGAAAACAAAAGGAAATGAATCATAGTTCCTACGTGTTAGCTCTCCAACTTCCCAGTAAGTTTCCACTAGAAAACGACAAATGAGCTACAGATTCCTCCTCTGTTTTTCCATATTTAATTTAATTTTTGTTGAAGTTTAATTTCGTATGATCACGGGAAGGACTTAAGATGGTTTTCCGAAGTCATATTTGATTTGATTAAATAAAATAAGTTTAATCACATTAGCATGAAACAAAAGGAAATGACGAATGAGCCATAGATTGCTCCTAGAAAACGACGAACGAGCTACAGATTCCTCCTCTGTTTTTTCATATTTAATTTTTTTTTTTGGTTGAAGTTTAATTTCGTATGATGTTGGATTCACGGGAAGGACTTTAAGATGATTTTCAGAAGTAAATTTTATTTGATGACCTCCCTAGCACCCCCTTCGGTAATCCTCCAGTACTTCAGACCACGGTCGAAGCGGAGCTTCTAGCTCAAATGACCTCCCTTCAGAGGGAAATGACTAAGCTCCAAGAACATAACAATCTCCTCTCGTCCAAAGTAGACGAAACACAGCGACTGCTTAACCAGCAGGAAACATAGAGCATTTAGGCTACCGAGTCTTCCCAGAGTCTGCAGACCCCCGGTCGGCAGAAGAAGGGAAAGCGGGGGGCAAAGGCAACGCCTGCGCCTTCCAAACAGTTGGTGGACCCGGCTCCACAGGACCATCCTCACGTACCGAAGAAGGTGTACACCGATTGTCGTCGTCGGATCAACGACAAGAAGGATGCCGAACGGCATAGGTCCCCAATCCGGATTAATGCCCGCCTGCGGGACTCACGGATGAAGGTCCTAGGAGATAAATCGCCCCTTAGGAAGGTCCATGGTTTGGATTCGGGAATGGAATCCGACGATGAGTACGTCCCCACCAAGGGCACCGAATCAAACTACCGTTCGAAACTCCCCCGGAGTATTCGAAGGCAAAACCACCAAGTCCGAGGAGAACTTCCGAAGACTTCAGTTCCGAGGAGGTCCCAAGCCGAGACCCCGCTATCCATCTGCTTTTCCAGAGAATCCAGAAGATGGAAGACGACCAAACTATAATTTTCCCTATTCAATACCGACTCTCAAATTTCAGGTACGAAAATAATAAAAAGTACATACAATAGCTTAGAACAAAAATCATAGCAAAACAATAAATATATAAAGACATCACGGGGTTCATATTAGGACTAATAATACAACACAAGGTCATTATTATGGCATCAAAATAATCAAGAGGAAGTCGTCTTGAGGTGTCTCGCCAAGAGGCATTCAAAAATAGAAATATCTTAAAATAAGGAGATGCTAAAGATACAAAAACGAACACTTGGGGCACCAGCTTATAATCTCTTCCCAGAGGAAGACGACTCACTTAATAATCTGCAAGATAAGAACAAATTAGGCATGAGCAAACAACCTACTTATATACTAACTCAGTTATATATGTCATGTAAGATCACATGTCAGCCTATTCAAAGTCAGTTTTCAACATCGTTGTAAAGCCACACACCTTTTGGTCCAGACTTGAAGTAAGTTTTCAACATCAACACCTAAGAGAGTACACAACATAATTACCTTAGAATTCTTCTACGATTGAAACACACTAAATGGTAAACAACAATACAACACGAAAAAATATTAAAAATAAAAACTCAATACCAATTTTGTGCTGAAAGGGAGGCTAATAAAAATAAAAAAATAATAATAATAAAATGATGCGAACTCACGTTGAAATGCAGACAGAGGTCATATATTTGTTCTCTTTATGGGTCCAACTTCATCACCTACATTATCATCATCATCTAACTCATTTTCATCAATATGTTTGCCATCATCATCACCATCCTTTGACATACTGATAGGAGCCAAGTGGGCCCTAATGCTTTTGATGTGCAACCCTTTGCCGATAACAGTAACTCGAAAAATAGGCGTTTTTAATTGTACATAAGAAATTGGAATACATTCCAGCCACACATAACCTTCCCCTGTCTCTCTTCCAGGCAGATACATGTGATCTCCATAACCATCCAAATCAAATAAAAGAGAACAAGGGCTAACAAATGATTCCGTAATTTCCCAAATAGCAAACAAAACCAATTTTGTGTTCTCCAATACGGAAGTCCAAGGAATTTCAATAGGAAGTTTGTAATTACGAACACTTCTGCCATCAAAAACGTAATCAAATTTACTCTCATCATAGTCATCAAAGTCATCACCAAAAGTGAACCACTTTGGAACTTCACTGCCATTGTCAGGTAGTTTAACGATAGTCGAATCACTCCTCTTCATCTGTAACACAACACAACACAGGCATATATATTATTATTAATTAGTCCAGCTTGCAGCGTACATAGTTAGTATTAACAATATATGTAATGAATGCGTATCAATTATATAGATAAAAGATACATACGTCACCTGATTCAGGAAAATTTTTGCCATCTTTGAAAGATCCAACCCAAGGTTGTCGCATAGTCTATGGCAATTAGACAAGTCCATGTCACTAATGCCTTGCATGTCTTCGTCTTCCAATATCTTTGACAATATTGAAAGTCTTTCCAGTGATATGCAATCACTCATATCAATCCTTGCTACAGACGCTGGAAGTTGTACTAGAATTTCTACAAGTCTCTTGCAACCACTCAAATTAAGCTCCTGCAAGTTGACACATTTGCTAATGCACACAGGAAGACTGACAAAATTGCTTTTGGCTAGATTAATTTTCACTAAGTTGGACCAGAAACAAAAATTCTCCAAGGAATCATTATTTGATACATTGCACTCTTGAAAATACATCTCCCCCTGCCTCATGAAGTCGCCATCGCGTGGACTGTTTGCGTTGGTTCGAACCTCCAAAGGAAGTGATTCTGCACTCGATAAACCTTCAGAGATCAAGTTATTTGGAAGTGTGACAAGTTTTGGGCATCCACTGAGATCAATAAAACCTAGATTTTGCAACCCATAAATACTTTGTGGCAGATTTGCAAGGTTTTCACATCCTTCTAAATTTAATTGTTTAAGTCCAGTGAGATTTCCAATTGATGAAGGCAACTCTTCTATAGCACTTCCTTCTAACCGTAAAAGTTTTAGGGCAGTGAGATTTCCAATGGATGACGGCAACTCTTTTATAGCAGTTCTCCCAAGGCCCAAATCAATTAAGGATTCCATTTTGTCCACAATTTCTGGGAAACTCTCCAACTTTATGCAATCGTAAAGAAGAAATAATTTCAGAGATTTCAACCCAACTTTATTTGGAAACTTCGTGAGTTCACAACAGCGACAAAAGTCCAAATTTTCAAGTTTATCAAGATATCCAACAGATGGATGAACCTCGACTAAACTTGTACAATCATTTGCATTCAAGTACCTTAAGTTTGGGCAGCTAGATAGGTCGGGGATTTCAGTTAGGAATTGAGATCCCGTGAAATTCAAATATGTCAACTTTGTCATATGCTGTGAAATTAAAAAAATAATAATAATCAAATGGATAGCATTAAAGAAATTAACAACATAAATCAGTTAATAAACAAGACCTATTAATTTACCTTCAATCCCTCCCCTAGTTGTTTGATGCGGCTGTAAGGCAGACTGAGCACAACTAGTCCATTTGGACGAAAATTGGGTGGAAAAAATGGGAACGGACATCCATGCCAATCAAGAACTCTCAAATTGTTTGGGATAGAACTAGTATCTCCAGAAAGGCATACATTGTGGTTTATGAAAATTTTAAGATTTTTCATCTTCGAGAAGCTTCTGCCAACATTCAAGAATATCTCATCATCTGGTTTGGGGAAATTTAACATGATGCCTGTGATTTTATTTGTTCCCTAATAGAAAAAAGAAAAATGTACTAAGTGTTACAAAGTATTTATAATTTAAAAAATTTATACTTAACACACAACATGTATTAGTTATTGAATTAAATAAAACTTTACACTCACATATATAATTTAACTTACTTACTGTATTATTCGTCAGAACATGCTTGACATCTTCATAAAACCACAATCTGCTACGTCCTCCGGGTTCAGTGGGCGACTTCTGCTCAATTATGTCCTTACCCATCTTTTCTAGTAAGTCATGCATATGAATATAACTTCCTTCAACACTTATGAGGGCCTTTTCTATGAGTACATCAATGCCATATCTGGCGTCACAAGCGTCTTTCACATACTTTATATCTTTACCCTTAAAGAAACATGCAATGTCAAGGAAAACCTCCTGTACGCTGTGATGCAATGCATTGTAACTTATTTTGAGAACGTCTTGAATTTTCGGGCTTTTGAAACCATCCAATTCAGCTTCCCATTTATCTATGCTTCCACCACATAGACAACAACCGAGAACTTCCAAAGCCAAAGGAAGGCCTTGAGCATAGCGTATTGCACGTTCTGCAAGTTTCACATAATCACCCAAAGGAGGCCCACTTCTTTTGAAGGCATGCCAGCAGAAGAGCTCAAGAGCATTATGGTTATCTAAAATCTTGACCTCATGTATTAAATTAACATCATGAGCAGTTAACAGTTGCTTATCCCTTGTTGTTATGATAATTCTACTGCCTACACCAAACCAATCACGTGCCCCAACTAACTTGTGTAACTGTTCCATGTCATCCACGTCATCAAGAACCAAGAGAACCTTTCTACAACTCAACCTTTGCTTTATCATAGTGGCCCCTTTATGAACGTTGGCCACCTCCAAATTTGTATCCTTTAGAATCTCATAAAGAAGAGTCCTCTGTAGTTTGGCTAAACCTTGTCCCTTAGAATCTCCGACGTTTGCCAAAAAAGAACAGCCTTTAAATTCGTGGGCAATTGAATTATAAACAGCTGTAGCAATTGTGGTCTTACCAATTCCACCAGTTCCCCATACACCTACCATACGAACATCGTTTTCCCTCAAATCCAAAAGCTTAATTATATCTTCTACAGGATGGTGCATTCCAACTGGATACTTTGTCACATACAAATGTGTACGGTCTATTACTCGCTGTGAAATTTCTTGAACGATATTATGAATTAGTTCAGCTTCAGATCTATGACTGCCAATTTAAAAGCATATAAAACATTTAGTCACATGGCATTTTCGTATAAAAAGTAATTTAAAAAGGGCAATTAAGGAACATAATACACACAAAAAAGAAGAGAATTTAGAGCAATAATGAATAAATTAACTCTTATAATTTATTTTCTTTTTTTGTCACATCTTATAATTTATTTTCTCAAAAGATGATCCATTAACTCATACATCAAACCTAATGAATTAGTTATAGGAAAAATAAAAATAAAAATAAAAATAAAAGAAAAGAGAAAGCATTAATTATGTAAAGGATAAGGCGGTTGGAAATTTACTCATCCGACAGAGTGAACCCCGCCAATTTTCCTGCTTGTGAAAGTGCTTCCTTCCATCTGTTGACCTTCTCTCTTCGTATTTCCGCCCCATGTTAGCCAGTGCATCCCCGAAGCTTCCTCTATGATTCCGTACATTTGATGGATTCACCTTGTAAAAAACTGGGATGACCAATTGTTGATTTGATTCTTTGCAATCAAGAATCTTAACAAGCTCATCCAAGCACCACTTTGAGGAGGCATAGTTTTCGGAGAACACCACCACAGAAATCTTTGAGCCTTCAATTGCTGTGAGAAGCGCGTTTGATATTTCTTCTCCTCTTCTGAGCTCATCATCATCCATGAAGGTGTTAATTCCTTGTAGACGCAAATTGCTATACAAATGGCTTGTGAAATTTGAGCGAGTGTCAAAACCTCTGAAGCTCAGAAAGACATGGTATTTCCATGACTTGGTGAAAGGAGCAGAAGAAGAAGAGGCTCCTCGGTTGGTCATGGAAGCCAAAGATAATTGTTTCAGTGTTTGCTTCTCTCTTTGGATTCGCTAAGCCAAATATGAGTCTTTTTTACACGAAGAGCTTGGATGTGAGCAAATGTAAAAGGCAATGTGAATTCATGAAATGGTGAGCAAGTGTTGGAGAAACTTCCTGTCTTCAACTGAGACGACCTGTCAATGCTTAAACCCACCGGATATGTTTTGTTTATTGCCACCTCACCTGTAGCTAATTTTGTATTACTCTAGGGGGCTTGCTTTCGGTGAAGTGCTCTCTAGTCCCTAGGCATGAAACAAAAGGAAATGAATCATAGTTCATAATTGATCGCTAGCAAACCCATGACACAGCTTAAATAAAATAAGTTAAGATGGTTTTCAGAAGTCATATTTGATTTTATTTGATTAAATAAAATAAGTTTAATCACATTCGCATGAAACAAAAGGAAATGACGAATGAGCCACAGATTCCTCCTAGAAAACGACGAACGAGCTACAGATTCCTCAATTTGGATCGATCAGGTTTGTACTTATTCTTGCCTGATTTTTTTTATAAAAATTTTGGGTATATTTTTAAGCAACAAATTGTGACAATGGTGCCCCTCTGCCTTGTTGGGATAAGAATTCATTTATGATTTTACAACAGCTCTTTGAAGTCATTGCCTGTTCTGTTTTGTTTCATTTTGTTTTGTTTTGTGATGCATTCCTTACTAATTTTATCACATCCAATTCTTATTTTGATTTCTATCCACAATACTTCCCATGTTCATTCTAGCAATCAAACACTGATGTGTATGTAGCAAGTCTTTTATTTATTTATTTAATTTTTCTTCCTGTTTGGTAGTAATATATTTGTATTCCAAGGTTTGCAAATATGAACAATTGGGTGTGGAAATGCACCATTCATTTGGTCGTGGTGCGAGGATTGCGGCTCAAGTTGACTTGGTGTCTCCGAGACCTGCGAGGAATGCGACTCAGTTAATTTTGTGTTTCCGAGGCTTGTGAGGATGAAACTGACAGGATACTTAGAATTAAAGGAATATTATCGAAATTGACAACATATTAAAGGAATTGACGGAATATAAATGGGGGTACACCTAGGTGGAGGGTAAATGAGATGTTTAAACTAAAATTCGTGATTTTATCTTGATATTTGTTGGTAAAAGCTTTACTACATATTTTCCATTGTGTGAGACAAAGATTGAGGATTTCTAAGTTTTCAAGAGGTTAAACAATTCATAACTATTTTCTCGAGTAATGAATTTGTTGTTACATGAGAAAGAGTTAAGCAGGTTTTTTTATTATTTAAATTGTTGAAAATGACATTTAGGTTTCACGGGGTCAGTGCTATTTTAATAATTTTCTCGAAGAGAAAGAACTACGTGTGACTTGATCCTTCAGTAAAGGTAAGTAGGCAACCTAGAGTTACTAGGTGCAGCTGCAAGTTTAAGTGATTGAAAAGTTATTCAGTTGATTTATTTTGAAATTTTGTTAATGTACTCTTGATGTTCTAAAAGTCGAGATTAGTTTAGATGACAGAACGATTTATTCGGGTTAAAAAAGCTTGAGGCCGAAATAATGTTATGTTAGGTTGCATGAATCATATTATTGTGCATGTTGAATGTTTGGGATTATAAAAATCATGTTTTCTACAGGTAAAATTTTTGAGAAGCGAGCGAATTACATGAGAGACTGTCGAATTTTCGGCAGAAGTCAAACATGAAGAAAAGCATTTTGGAAACTTAGAAGGCCATTTTGATCAAAAGTGCCCGGCACCTGCCAGATGTCGGACATGTACAAAGTTTGACTCAGATTTCAAAGTGAAATTTGAGTCGGGTCATGTAAACAATATCTCTAATTCACTGATATTTCCCTCTTGGAGAATTTCTCTGCTCTCATTTCTCTCCGCTCACCCTTCTTTCTGTCTTCCTTCCTCTCTGCCTGGGTTCTCATTTTTCTTCTCTGATGATGTGTCTCATTACAATTATCTTGGCTTCCCTTGAATGTGCAATTATTTCTTCCAATATGTGGACTCCACTTTTACAACAACTTCATCATCACTTTACCCACTCGGACAACAAGTCTCCAAATGAATAGTTAGTAGGCTCCACCACATTTAAGAAAAAAAAAATCAATTCTTCTATTGTTCTTTTAACAATTGTACACTATAACAGGACGTGTTTCCTACTTAAACAAAACTACATGATTAAGACTCAAAAATAAAGAAAGAAAGAAAAATCAAATTATTTGACCATTTCTCTTTCTATTTCTAACATTCACGTGAAACAAAAGGAAATGAATCATAGTTCCTACGTGTCAGCTCTCCAACTTCCCAGTAAATTTCTACTAGAAAACGACAAATGAGCTACAGATTCCTCCTTTGTTTTTTCATATTTAATTTAATTTTTGTTGAACTTTAATTTCGTATGATCACAGGAAGGACTTAAGATGGTTTTCAGAAGTCATATTTGATTTGATTAAATAAAATAAGTTTAATCACATTCGCATGAAACAAAACGAAATGACGAATGAGCCACAGATTCATCCTACAAAACGACGAACTAGCTACAGATTCCTCCTCTGTTTTTTCATATTTAATTATTATTATTATTTTTGGTTGGAGTTTAATTTCGTACGATGTTGGATTCACGGGAAGGACTTAAGATGATTTTCAGAAGTAAATTTTATTCGATGAAATAAAATAAGTTTAATCACAATAAAATAATAACAACAAAATAATTAATAAGAGAAATATATTATGTAGGGCCAAAACACCAATGGGAGAAGTGGTAGCATTGAGTGGCAGATTGGGTGGGGGATCGTCGAGACTCGCGCTAGGGAATCTTCATCGTCTTCCTTTCTCTGGTACCAACAGCAACAGTGTAGTTCATGCAAGCCTGTTTTCAGGGGTGAGGTTGAGGAAGAAGCCTGGTCCTCAATTTGAATCGATCAGGTTTGTATTTATTCTTGCCTGTTTTGTTTTGTTTTTGGGTGTGTTTTTAAGCAACTAATTGTGACAATGGTGCCCCTCTGCCTTGTTGGGATAAGAATTCTAAAAAAACTGCACTAATGTTGCATCGAGTTTATGATTTTACAACAGCTCTTTGAAGTTATTGCCTGTTCTGTTTTGTTTCATTTTGTTTTGTTTTGTGATGCATTCCTTACTAATTTTATATTCTTCACATCCAATTCTTATTTTGATTTCCATCCACAATACTTCCCATGTTCATTCTAGCAATCAAACACTGCTGTGATGTGTATGTAGCAAGTTTTAAAAAATAATAATAATAATAATAATTTTTCTTCCTGTTTGGTAGTAATATATTTGTATATACAAGGTTTGCAAATATGAACAATTGGATGTGGAAATGCACCATTCATTTGGTCGTTGCTAATTTAGAATATTCACTTTTTGACAGTAATTTATTCCTTGCACATACGTATAAGCATTCGAGAGATGTGATGATATTTTATATAGGTAATAAAAATTCCGCCAATTTTCTGTTGGGGTGCTAAACATGAATATGTAGTTTGACCTAATATTCAGTTCTAAATTTTGTAACTTCACCTTTCTAACCGAAAGTAAATAGTAAATATCAGGCATGGGCATTAAGGGCCAGGTAGCATCTCTCCTCTACCAAATAGGGAAGTCTGAGGTTCGAACTTATGAAAGGAAAAGGGAGAAAGTCCAGGTCCAACCCTTTCTAATTGCCAGTTTTAGTGCTTTCTGTTTTCTGAGGGTGTATGGAACTTGGTAGAGAGTACTTCAAGTTGTCTAGTCCATTACTGATGTTTGGTCAATAAAACTCTATTTATACTCTTTTTTTTGTTTTTGTTTTTGAAATTCTATATTGACATTTCCTTCTGTTTGCATGGAGAAAAAACCTCACTGATGATGTGATGATTGAGTTGTAATAGCTCATATGATACAAACACACTGTAAATTTTCTCTGTTTATATTTTTCAGACGACTCTATAATCTTCTTTCACATTTTTAATAGTGATCCGGAGTGAAATGTTAGATTCAAAATGCATATTCCCATACGATATTAGTTTTTTTGCTAGAAGAGGTCTAATAAGAAGTTCATTACTGCGAAATTTACTATGGTTATTTTGGCATGCAGAAGGAAGAGATTTGCCAAAAGGTTGGTTACTGAAAGTTTGATCTCTAAAATGGCTGATAATGAAGGAAAGGCAGTCGCTACTGATGTCACCTCAGGATCTATGATTTTTGAGCCTATCATCGAGGATGGAGTATTCCGATTTGATTGTTCTGCAAATGATAGAAATGCAGCATATCCTAGTATCTCTTTTATTAATAGCAAGGATAGGGACACACCAATTATGAGTCACAAGATACCTTCATATATCCCAAATTTTCAATGTCTATTGGGGCAGCAGATTGTTAAACTCGAGGTCAGCAATAGATTTTCAAATTGAATTTGGTGCTTCCTGTATTATCTATTTCTTTTTGTCTCTTTCTTAACAACTATATTGTCTTTTCATCGTGATAGTTTCTATGCCTTAAATTAACATGGTAGAATTGCTTTTGGTGTAGCTTCCTGTCGGGACCTCTCTCTATGGAACTGGGGAAGTTAGTGGGCAACTTGAGCGGACGGGGAAAAGAGTAAGTCATCTTTTGATGATCTATCCATGAAGGATTTCCCTCCTCTCTAAATGTTTAGTATTTCTGCTTGATTTAGGTTTTTACTTGGAACACGGATGCATGGGGTTATGGTTCTGGAACTACATCATTGTACCAGTCACATCCTTGGGTTCTAGCTGTTCTTCCAACTGGAGAGGCATTGGGAATTCTCGCTGATACAAAACGACGCTGTGAGGTGCTGTGACATCTGGATCTCTGACCTTCTGTTGTATGTGAAAGTTAATGTTTTTATATATTTTTCTTTTAATTTATTAACCTACTTTTTGGTTCACTTTTTTGCTCATGAGCAGATTGATCTGAGGAAAGAATCGATGATACAGTTCATTGCTCCATCCTCTTA